CACACGAGAGAATATGTTGGACACATGTCAATGAGAACACCACGTGAGAGAATATGCTTTACACATGGCAATAAGAACACCACACGAGAGAATATGTTGGACAAATGGCAGTAAGAGCATCCCGCGTGAGAATATGCTAGACAAATGGCAGTGGCAGTGTAAGAATATGCTGGACACATAGGAGAAACGAGTGAATATGCTGGGCAAATGGCAGAAAGAACACCAATTAGGAGAATATGCTAGACACATGGCAGTAAGAACACCACACGAGAGAATATGCTGGACAAATGGCAGTAAGAACACCACACGAGAGAATATGCTAGACAAATGGCAGTAAGAACACCACATGAGAGAATATGCTGGACAAATGGCAGTGAGAACACAACGTGTGTGAATATGCTGGACACATAGCAGTTAGAACACCACACGAGAGAATATGCTGGACACAGGGCAGTAAGAATACCACGTAAGGGAATATGCTTTACAAATGACAGTGAGAACACCACGTGAGAGAATATGCTGGACACATAGCAATAAGAACACCACACGAGAGAATATGCTAGACAAATGGCAGTAAGAACACCACGCGAGAGAATATGCTAGATAAATGGCAGTGGGAACACCACGTGTAAGAATATGCTGGACGCATAGCAGTAAGAACACCAAACGAGAGAATATGCTGGACAAATGGCAGAAAGAACACCAATTAGGAGAATATGCTAGACACATGGCAGTAAGAACACCACGTGAGAGAATATGCTGGACACATGGCAGTAAGAACAACACGTGAGAGAATATGCTGGACACATGGCAGTAAGAACACCACATGAGAGAATATGCTAGACACTTGGCAGTGAGAACACCACGTGAGAGAATATGCTAGACACATGGCAGTGAGAACACCACGTGAGAGAATATGATAGACACATGGCAGTGAGAACACCACGTGAGAGAATATGATAGACACATGGCAGTGAGAACACCACGTGAGAGAATATGCTAGACACATGGCAGTGAGAACACCACGTGAGAGAATATGCTGGACACATGGCAGTGAGAACACCACGAGAGAGAATATGCTAGACACATGGCAGTGAGAACACCACGAGAGAGAATATGCTAGGCACATGGCAGTGAGAACACCACGTGAGAGAATATGCTGGACACATGTCAGTGAGAACACCACGTGAGAGAATATGCTGGACACATGGCAGTGAGAACACCACGTGAGAGAATATGCTGGACACATGGCAGTGAGAACACCACGTGAGAGAATATGCTGGAGACATGGCAGTAAGAAGACCACGTGAGAGAATATGCTCGACACATGGCAGTAAGAACACCACGTTAGAGAATATGCTGGACACATGACAGTGAGAACACCACACGAGAAAATATGTTGGACGCATATCAGTGAGAACACCACATAAGAGAATATGTTGGGCAACTGGCAGTAAAAACACCACACAAGAGAATATGTTAGACACATGGCAGTGAGAACACCTTACGAGAGAATATGTTGGACAAATGTCAGCGAGAACACCACGTGAGAGAATATGCTTTTCACATGGCAATAAGAACACCACACGAGAGAATATGTTGGACAAATGGCAGTAAGAGCATCCCGCGTGAGAATATGCTGGACACATGGCAGTGAGAACACCACATGAGAGAATATTCTGGACAAATGGCAGTGAGAACACCACATGAGAGAATATGCTGGACACAAAGCAATGAGAACACCACATGAGAGAATATGCTGGACACATGGCAGTGAGAACACCACATGAGAGAATATGCTGCACACACGGCAGTGAGAACACCACATGAGAGAATTTGCTGGACAAATGGCAGTAAGAACACCACACGAGAGAATATGCTAGACAAATGGCAATAAGAACACCACATAAGAGAATGTGCTAGACAAATGGCAGTGAGAACACAACGTGTGTAAATATGCTGGACACATAGCAGTAAGAACACCACACGAGAGAATATGCTGGACAAATGGCAGTAAGAACACAACACGAGAGAATATGCTAGACAAATGGCAGTAAGAACACCACATGAGAGAATATGCTGGACAAATGGCAGTGAGAACACAACGTGTGTGAATATGCTGGACACATAGCAGTTAGAACACCACACGAGAGAATATGCTGGACAAATGGCAGTAAGAACACCACGTGAGAGAATATGCTAGACAAATGGCAGTAAGAACACCACATGAGAGAATATGCTGGAAAAATGGCAGTGAGAACACAACGTGTGTGAATATGCTGGACACATGGCAGTAAGAATACCACGTGAGTGAATATGCTTTACAAATGACAGTGAGAACACCACGTTTGAGAATATGCTGGACACATAGCAATAAGAACACCACACGAGAGAATATGCTAGACAAATGGCAGTAAGAACACCACGCGAGAGAATATGCTAGACAAATGGCAGTGAGAACACCACGTGAGAGAATATGCTGGACACATGGCAGTGAGAACACCACGTGAGAGAATATGCTGGACAAATGGCAGTGAGAACACCACGTGAGAGAATATGCTGGACACATGGCAGTGAGAACACCACGCGAGAGAATATGCTGGACACATGGCAGTGAGAACACCACGTGAGAGAATATGCTCGACACATGGCAGTGAGAACACCACGAGAGAGAATATGCTCGACACATGGCAGTGAGAACACCACGCGAGAGAATATGCTCGACACATGGCAGTGAGAACACCACGAGAGAGAATATGCTGGACAAATGGCAGTGAGAACACCAAGCGAGAGAATATGCTCGACACATGGCAGTGAGAACACCAAGCGAGAGAATATGCTCGACACATGGCAGTGAGAACACCACGAGAGAGAATATGCTGGACAAATAGCATTGAGAACACCACGAGAGAGAATATGCTGGACACACGGCAGTGAGAACACCAAGCGAGAGAATATGCAGGACACATGGCAGTGAGAACACCACGTGAGAGAATATGCAGGACACATAGCAGTGAGAACACCACGTGAGAGAATATGCAGGACACATAGCAGTGAGAACACCACATGAGAGAATATGATAGACACATGGCAGTAAGAACCCCATGCAAGAGAATATGCTATACACAGAGCAATGAGAACACCAGGAGAGAGAATATGATAGACACATGGCAGTGAGAACACCACGCGAGAGAATATGCTGGACAAATGGCAGTGAGAATAGCACGTGAGAGAATATGCTGGACAAATGGCAGTGAGAACACCACGAGAGAGAATATGCTGGACACATGGCAGTGAGAACACCACGCGAAAGATATAAACATGGATTTAAAAAAAAAAAAAAAACTAGGCATTCTGACAGCTTTCTGATTGCTCTTCAACCTTGTTGTTTTGATTCTGAGTTCATTGTTTGTATTTGAAGTCCCTATTTGACACTTCCTCAAGGGAATCACCGAGAGGAAGATCACCGGTTTACCTCAGCAAAAACACAGTGAGAGTCGTAAAGGCCTATATAATTGACAAGGCACATGTTGGTGATGATGATAGTAACGATGAAGATGATAATGATGATGACTGTTATCACGGGGATGATGGTGATATAAATGTGAAGATAATGATTGTTATGTCGCTGATGATGACGATTTTGATTCTGGTGATGATGATTCTTTTGATGACCATTGTGATGCTTTTGAGTGGTACGATAATGATAATTGTAATAATGACGATAGTTTTTTTAAATGTGATGGTGATAGTTATGATGACGACGATGATGGTAACTGTAATGATGCTGATTGTTGTGATAATAATGATGATGGTGTTGAGGATTGTGATGACGATGCTTTACTGTGATGTTATAACAGTATTGATGAATTTAAATACCTCTATATTACTCACGAGCTATACCATACAGCTTTTCTATATATACAGAGCTGATGATCCTAACGTTTCTGTTCCCACTTTCCAGAGCTGACGATACTAAAGTTTCTGTTCCCACAGACTCAGAGCTGATGATACTAATGTTTCTGTTCCCACCACTCAAAGCTAACGATACTAACGTTTCTGTTCCCACCACTCAAAGCTAACGATACTAACTTTTCTGTTCCCACTACTCAAAGCTAACGATACTAACGTCTCTGTTCCCACCACCCAGAGCTGACGATACTAACGTTTCTGTTCCCACTACCCAGAGCTGACGATACTAACGTTTCTGTTCCCACTACCCAGAGCTGACGATACTAACGTTTCTGTTCCCACTACCCAGAGCTGATGATCCTAACGTTTCTGTTCCCACTACCCAGAGCTGACGATACTAACGTTTCTGTTTCCACTACCGAGAGATGACGATACTAACGTTTTCTGTTCCCACTACCCAGAGCTGACGATACTAACGTTTCTGTTCCCACTACCCAGAGCTGACGATACTAACGTTTCTGTTCCCACTACCCAGAGCTGACGATACTAACGTTTCTGTTTCCACTACCCAGAGCTGACGATACTAACGTTTCTGTTCCCACTACCCAGAGCTGACGATACTAACGTTTCTGTTCACACTACCCAGAGCTGACGATACTAACGTTTCTGTTTCCACAGACCCAGAGCTGACGATACTAACGTTTCTGTTTCCACTACCCAGAGCTGACGATACTAACGTTTCTGTTCCCACTACCCAGAGCTGACGATACTAACGTTTCTGTTCCCACTACCCAGAGCTGACGATACTAACGTTTCTGTTTCCACTACCCAGAGCTGACGATACTAACGTTTCTGTTCCCACTACCCAGAGCTGACGATACTAACGTTTTTGTTCCCACTACCCAGAGCTAACGATACTAACGTTTCTGTTCCCACTACCCAGAGCTGACGATACTAACGTTTCTGTTCCCACCACCCAGAGCTGACGATACTAACGTTTCTGTTCCCACAGACCCAGAGCTGACGATACTAACGTTTCTGTTCCCACAGACCCAGAGCTGACGATACTAACGTTTTTGTTTCCACAGACCCAGAGCTGATCATCCCCCTGGTGTGGCCCAAAGGAACCTACGGCCTGTACAAGGCCTTGTCTGGTTGCCCTCGAGGAAACTTCAGCTGGCTCGAGGGTTGGAGGTTCCAGGACTGTGAGGACTTCGACACCACCAACAGTTTCTCTGGGAGCTTACACCTGGCAGGTAAGACGTCGATGAGGCTTTCTGTAAACAAGATGTCCTTTCCTCATTCTCTATGGGTAGCTTTCCTAGTTTGGAGTCAGGCACTACACTGTTGTGTTGCCGGGACAAACATGAGTAAAAGATTAGGGGTGACATTTTTATTATTTCTCTGAAGGTTCAATATAGTATCAGTGAGTTCTATACCTTTTCTGTGAGCTGAACATGATATTCTTCAGTTCTATACCTTTTCTGGGAGTTGAACATGATATCCGTCAGTTCTATACCTTTTTTGGGATTTGAACCTGATATCCGTCAGTACTAAACTTTTTATTGAGTAAAACATGAAATCCTTCAGATCTATACCGTTTTCTGTGAGTTAAGCATGATTGCCGTCGGTTCTATACCTTTTACTGAATAAAACATGAAATCCGTCAGTTCTATACCTTTTATGGAAGTTTAACATGATATTCGTCAGTTCTATACTTTTTTTAGCATTTGAACATGATATCGTCAGTTCTATACCTTTTATTGAGTTGAACATGATATCCGTGGGTTTGCACTTCTGGTTTACCACTTAAGAGACCACTCTTGAAGTTGGAGGCGTTTGCTAACGTTCAGGTAGCAGCTGTGAATAATGGGGGTGGGGGGGAGGAAGGATGAAGGTGAGAGAGGATAGAAAAGAATGACAGAGTATACCGACATTTGGCATAAAAAGTAGCTTATCCTTCCCGGTGTTTCGGGTTTTCAGCCGCCAAGTGTTGTCCACCCTAGGTAATAAAGACACTGATCATTAGAAAGTTTCGACCATGTCCGAGAAGGCTAGCGGACTCCGCAGGATCGAAAAGTAGCTTCACCATCGTATTTCTTTTTTTATTACAAACCAGTCCAGACCACTCAGATACAAGTGATGGTTTTCTTTAAGATCGGTTTTTAATCAGGAACCAGCAGAATGAAGAAGAAGAAGAAGAAAAAGAAGAAGAAGAAGAAGAAGAAGAAGAAGAAGAAGAAGAAGAAGAAGAAGAAGAAGAAGAAGAAGAAGAAGAAGAAGAAGAAGAAGAAGAAGAAGAAGAAGAAGAAAAGAAGAAGCAGAAGAAAGTTGTGTGCATACAATTTGTGTCAGTGTATGTGTATGTGCGTGCAAGGGTATGTATTGTTTGTTTTAGTATCCAGAAGCCATGAGTTGTTTACCCTTAGGCTCGGTATTATGGATATCGCAACCTTTCGGCCTGGATTCCATTGTTATTACCGTAAATCTGGAAGAAAATGTGACTTTCCTGCCTAACCCCGGGATTGAATCCGGACCACAAGAAGTTCGTCACCCGGTCCCCGCGTAATCCGGTTTAGCCAGCTACGCTGGAGAGCCGGGCCCAAAGGTATGTATATGTGTAATAATCGCTGAAGAATGTTGACGGCTGATCCGTGTTGGGCCGAAAACACATACACTTGATAGAGGCGATGTTGGAAGATTGCCCTAGCAATGTATTCTGTTTAATGCTGCTCATTGATTGCCAGGTACCTTTGAGCCGGACGGAGACATCCTCACAGAGTTCTGCATCAAGGGCATACCGGAAGTATCCGACTATGATCTCAGTTGGCCTAAGGGAGACTACTGTATTCTGAAATATGGCGACTGTCCCGCAGGTCGGTGATTTCCCTTGATTGGTTGTTTTTCTTCCTGCCTGCTTCCTTCCTACACAACCACCTACCTACCTACCTATGCGTCTGCCAGCCTAGAGAGTCCCCTAGACGGCTAAATTTTAACCGATTAGAATACACCAGGAGCCCTCGAAATTGGAAACAAAGCACCAGAGCTCGCTTCTTCCCTCCCTGAGAAACAAAGCACCAGAGCTCGCTTCTTCCCTCCCTGAGAAACAAAGCACCAGAGCTCGCTTCTTCCCTCCCTGAAAAACAAACAAAATAAATCGTAATTGTTAGGTTCACGGTTGCCTAAATTCTGAGGTCTTCTCCATCTTAGGACAAATTTGCAGTGAGGCTAAGTGGTCTCCGTATTTCTTTATACTTTCCTATTATTCCAAATGTATTGTTATATTTGTCTGCCATCCAGCACATAAAATAATAAAAATAGTAATAATAATAATAGCAATAACAGCAAACAACTTTTATAATTATTTGTGCACATGTAAAAAAAAAATTATTTAAGCCCCATGAGCTCCTAGGTGCCTAGAAAATTATATGGGGGGGGGGGGGGGGGTTAGGCGAGGAGGGTGTAGTCACGGTGCCTTAAATCGCTCGGAAGAAATAGTCAGGGTGCCTTAAGTCGCCCAGAAGGGTAGAGTCAGGGTGTCTTAACTCGCCTGGGAGGGTAGAGTCAGGGTGCCTTAAGTCGCCGGGAAGAAATAGTCAGGGTGCCTTAAGTCGCTCAGAAGGGTAGAGTCAGGGTGCCCTAAGTCGCCCAGAAGGGTAAAGTCAGATTGCCTTAAGTCTCCCGGAAGAAATAGTCAGGGGGCCTTAAGTCGCCCAGAAGGGTAGAGTCACCCTGCCTTAAGTCGCCTGGAAGAAATAGTCAGGGTGCCTAAGTAGCCCAGAAGGGTGCAGTCAGGGTGCCTTAAGTCGCCTAGGAGGGTGCAGTCAGTGTGCCTCAAGTCGCCTAGGAGGGTGCAGTCAGGGTGCCTTAAGTCGCCTGGAAGGGTGCAGTCAGTGTGCCTTAAGTCGCCTGGGAGGGTGCAGTCAGTGTGCCTTAAGTCGCCTAGAAGGGTGCAGTCAGTGTGCCTTAAGTCGCCTAGGAGGGTGCAGTCAGTGTGCCTTAAGTCGCCTAGGAGTGTGCAGTCAGGGTGCCTTAAGTCGCCTAGGAGGGTGCAGTCAGTGTGCCTTAAGTCGCCTAGGAGGGTGCAGTCAGGGTGCCTTAAGTCGCCTGGGAGGGGGGAGTCAGGGTGCCTCAAGTCGCCTGGGAGGGTGGAGTCAGGGTGCCTCAAGTCGCCTGGGAGGGTGGAGTCAGTGTGCCTCAAGTCGCTTGGGAGGGTGGAGTCAGGGTGCCTTAAGTCGCCTGGGAGGGTGCAGTAAGGGTGCCTTAAGTCGCCTCGAAGGGTGCAGTCAGGGTGCCTTGTCGCACAGTTCAAGAGCCCTTAGAAGCTGAAAGCTAACGTTTATCATTGATTTACTGAGTGCATTGTCTCTGTCTGTAAGTTTATTTTGTTCTCTACTGTCATTGAATATTATATCACGAACTCAAGGATAGCCGATAACAAACATCATCATGTGGTAGTGGTCCCAATTCAGCACATTATGAGAAGCGACAAAATCAACAGCACAATCAATCAAATGCCAACCGGACATATTTGAAAGAAAATCTAAAAACAAACTAGGACAACAAGAATAGAACAGATTCTTGATAGCCTTTTTCACTGCGCAGAAATGTGACAGCGCATAAAATGTGACACAGCGAGACTTGATAAATAAGTTGTGAGATAATAACCTCGGCTGCGACGAGACTTGAAAAATAAGTTGTGAGATAACAACCTTGGCTGTGACGAGACTTGAAAAATAAGTTATGAGATAACAATATTGGCTGTGACGAGACTTGATAAATAAGTTATGAGATAACAATATTGGCGGTGACGAGACTTGATAAATAAGTTGTGAGATAACAACCTTGGCTGTGACCAGACTTGATAAATAAGTTATGAGATAACAACCTTGGCTGTGACGAGATTTGATAAATATGTTATGAGATAACAAGCTTGGCTGTGACCAGACTTGATAAATAAGTTATGAGATAGAAACCTTGGCTGTGATGAGACAAGATATATAAGTTATGAGATAACAAGCATGGCTGTGACGAGACTTGATAAATAAGTTATGAGATAACAAGCATGGCTGTGACGAGACTTGATAAATAAGTTATGAGATAACAACCTTGGCTGTGACGAGACCTGATAAATAAGTTATGAGATAACAAGCATGGCTGTGACGAGACATGATAAATAATTTATGAGATAACAACCTTGGCTGTGACGAGACTTGATAAAAAAGTTGTGAGATAACAACCTTGGCTGTGACTAGACTTGATAAATAAGTTTTGAGATAACAACCTTGGCTGTGACGAGACTTGATAAATAAGTTCTGAGATAACAAGCTTGTCTGTGACGAGACTAGATAAATAAATTATAACAAGCTTGGCTGTGACGAGACTTGATTGCTGCAGGTTTTGGCGAGGGCTGGCTGCAGTGGGATGACGAGGACGATGTGGACCAGGACGGGAGCGTCACCTCTAGCGGCTACTTGCCGGACGGGGAGTACGGACAGAACACCATGATCTTCTACTGCTGCAGGTGGGTAGGTTTACCAGTGAGACTGACCAGGGAGAGGGAGGGCATAGAGAGACCGAGAGAGCGAGCGAGAGAGAGAGAGAGAGAGAGAGAGAGAGAGAGAGCAAGAGAGAGAGAAACTATTTGATATAACATAAGTAAGTGTGTATGTGAGAGATATAAAGTTTGCTCGTTTGCGTTTTAATAGTTCATGGGTAAGTAAAGAAGAGAGAGAGAGAGAGAGAGAGAGAGAGAGAGAGAGAGAGAGAGAGAGAGAGGGAGAGAGGGAGAGATAGAGAGATAGAAAGTGAGAGAGAGAAAATGTGCGAATTATAAGAGATGTTTGTGCTGATAATGACGACAGTCTAAATAGATAGTGATGATGATGATAATGACGACAGTCTAAATAGATAGTGATGATGATGATAATGACGACAGTCTAAATAGATAGTGATGATGATGATAATGAATTGGTGCTGATGATGTCGACCACAGTCTAGCTGTTCGTGATTAGGATAATGGTGGCAATAATGACACAGATGACGGTGATTATGATAATGATGATGATGATGGTGATGATGATGTTGATGTTGCTTTTGATGTTAATGGTGATGATGCTGATGATGATGTTGATTATGATGCTGATGATGTTGTTGATGGTGATGGTGATAATGTTGATGATGATGATGTTGATGGTTATGGTGATGATGATGATGATGTTGATGGTGATGGTGATGATGGTGATGGTGATGATGATGTTGATTTTGATGGTGATGGTGATGGTAATGATGTTGATGATGATGATGTTGGTGATCATCATGATGATGTTGATGATGTTGATGATGATGATGTTGTTGATGTTGATGATGATGGTGATGGTGATGCTGATTTTTATGGTGATGTTGATGATGATGTTGATTTTGATGGTGATGGTGATGATGTTAATGATGTTGACAATGTTGATGATGATGGTGATGATGATGTTGATGTTGATGATGATATTGATGATGATGATGCTGATGTTGATGATGATGTTGATTATGATGTTAATAATGATGTTGATGATTATGATGATGATGTTGTTGATGATGATGATAACAGCCTGATGTTGATGATGTTGACGGTGACAATGATGATGCTGACAGTGCTGATGCCTGCGATCATGTTTCTGATACTCGTGTTGATAATGAATCCGGTGATCGTGTCTCTTGCACAAAACTTCCACATCTTTCGATGAACAAAAGAACTCTGTAGAACAGAAATTGAGTTTCGACCAAAGTCTTTATCAGCGGAATTCTCATTACAACCCTCACGCTCCAACTGTCGTGGGCATGATTCACGGCGGCGCTATTCGGTTCACCAGTGCAATTTTTATGGACATCCAGGGGACCGTCACCGGAGCTGCGGTGTTCGAGTTTGTGCAATACCAGCTGCAGGCGACTAGCCATTCTGTTGGGAGAAAGAATCTAACATATGGGACAAAAGCCGATACATTGAAAAAGACCCTCTGGACATTTAGCATTATTTTATTACAACACAACCTGTGACTGGAAAACTTAACGGACAGGATACCTTTTTGTACTCCGTTGATAAAGACTTTGGTCGAAAAGTTTGGTAGCATTTGTGCGCGTCGTTTCTGTTCTCTCTGTTTAACTTTCTAGTCAATCTGTATGTAGAATGTAGTGCTTTTTGTGGTCAGCTGAAGTCACTCCTTGTTTACATCATTTATTGGTCACTTGTCTGACATGGTCCTAAATGTATCCGACCAGAAACGACAGTCTGCCCACACTACCCATAAACCTTCCAGTCGATAAGCCGTTCTACCTGCTGCGCCACTCCCGCTCCTGCCAGACCGTGCGGGGGATGCACGTTGTGGAGGAGACGGTCTCCTGGGACGAGGAGTTCTGGCTCTTACCTAGTCACCATACCAAGGTAATGCCACCATTGTACTTTCATTACATAGTCACCATACAAATGGAATGCCACCATTGTACTGCCCTTACACAGTCACCATACCAAGGTAATGCCACCATTGTACTGCTCTTACACGGTCAGCATACCAAGGTAATGAATGCCATCATTGTACTGCTCTTTCACGGTCACCATACCAAGGTAATGCCACCATTGTACTGCTCCTACACTGTCACCACACCAAGGTAATGCCACCATTGTACTGCTTTTACACAGTCACCACACCAAGGTAATGCCAATATTGTACTGTTCTTACACGGTCACCATACCAAGGTAATGCCACCATTGTACTGCTCTTACACGGTCACCATACCAAGGTAATGCCACCATTGTACTGCTCTTACACGGTCATCATACCAAGGTAATGCCACCATTGTACTGCTTTTATACAGCCACCACACAAAGGTAATGCCACCATTGTACTGCTCTTACACGGTCAGCATACCAAGGTAATGAATGCCATCATTGTACTGCTCTTTCACGGTCACCATACCAAGGTAATGCCACCATTGTACTGCTCTTACACTGTCACCACACCAAGGTAATGCCACCTGTGTACTGCTTTTACACAGTCACCACACCAAGGTAATGCCACCTTTGTACTGTTCTTACACGGTCACCATACCAAGGTAATGCCACCATTGTACTGCTTTTACACTGTCACCACACCAAGATAATGCCACCATTGTACTGCTCTTACACTGTCACCACACCAAGCTAATGCCACCATTGTAGTGCTCTAACACGGTCATCATACCAAGGCGCCCCAAAAAAGCATAGCAACCCTATGCTAATACCTGTATCTAAAGTAACTTCCCCAACATTCAAATGTGAGTGGTTGTCAATGGGGCCTCAGCACACTGGTTTGTCGAGAAGCCTATAGTGCTGTTAAGACGGTGTTGCTTATGACGCATGAAAACCTGTAGAGTGGAGACGGCGTGCTTTTTATTTGGTTTGATTTGTAACTATTGTAATAGGTTTGTCCTTTGCATCGGCGTCTGAGATTTAGGGGTTTGAAACTCAGTTTATAGTACAGACACACCCTAGTGAGAAGTCAGCTACGGGCGATTTGGCAACAGACCACATTTCGTGGAGTCCAGTACGAACGTCGGGCTTTTTAGACAATAATGGCACATTCCTGAGTGTAACTAACCTGGCCTAGTTAAACCACAACCAGTGAATGCCAGGTTGGTTTCCAAGAACTGCAACGGATGTTATGGGAAATGAACAGGTGGACAGACTGGCTGGCTCTGCACAACTTGGTGGAATACTGATACATTATAAGGCAGACGTGGTTAGTGCCTTGTGGGAGTGCGTGTACAGTTCGGAGGATAGATGGATCACCACAGTCTGGTGAGATTGATGCAGCAGGGTGTGACGAGAGGTTCTGGCAAACGCTCAAGGCTCAGAGGAAAGGCAAGACGGAGGTTAAATCAGAATGCTGCTGGCACCATTAGTATCGGAACTCTTCGCTGGCTGCTGAAGATGGGGACGGATCGCTTATGTGAATGCCCTGAGTGCTGTGATGTCGATCATCGAATCAAATCAAATCAAATCAAACCTGCAACGGATTTCAAACTGGGTTTTCTTTCTTCCCTCTATCCATACTTGTTTTTCATTTAGAGCTAATTTTATTGAAAATAACAATTGTTTTAAAAACGGAAAAATCTTTTTTAAATAACAATTTCGGGTTCTAATCTAACAGGCTGGAGGCTTCTCCCCCTTCGACGACGGAGATCGAGAAAATCACAGGCTACATTTTTGCTACTACACCGGCTCCGACGCCCCGGAAATTAACAATATAATTGTTGGTTAACACCGGGTCAAAGTTCTGGAGATTAACAATGTAATTGCTGGTTAACACCGGGTCAAAGTTCTGGAGATTAACAATGTAATTGCTGGTTAACACCGGGTCAAAGTTCTGGAGATTAACAATGTAATTGCTGGTTAACACCGGGTCAAAGTTCTGGAGATTAACAATGTAATTGCTGGTTAACACCGGGTCAAAGTCCAGCTGGACAATGTCGTTGTCAGCCCTTTGCTCATTACAAATCGTAAATATATGCACAGACAGACAAATTGCATTTTTGTTGTCTATCGAATTAGATTTAATGAGACGTGTGTCCTTATAGTGATATCACAAGTGCTCCTTTTGGTATTTTGTCATCAAAATACCTGCTATAGAGAAAGTTTGGAGGAAAAGAATGAACTGTAGAAAAAGTGGAGCACAATATATTTCTTCTCTTGCGAAGGGATGGCTAGCACGTTGAGACAAACATGGCTAACTATTTGATTTCCAGGGGAGTTAGCTGGGAGTTTGTCTGTCTGTTTGATTGATCGTTTGGCTAGTTGGCTAGCAGTTTGTCTGTCTGGTTGATTGATCGCTTGCCCAGTTGGCTAGCAGTTTGTCTGTCTGGTTGATTGATCGCTTGCCTAGTTGGCTAGCAGTTTGTCTGTCTGGTTGATTGATCGCTTGATTAGTTAGCCAGCACTTGGTCTGTCTAGTTGATTGATAGCTTGGCTAGTTGGCTAGCAGTTTGTTTGTCTCGTTGACTGATCGCGGCATTGACATGGTAGCTGGTAGGTAGGGTTAAGCCTGGGATTCTTTCTGGGTTGAATGGTTAAATGTCGGAGTTGGTTAGCTGATTATTAGGTAGCTGAACTACCTGGTTTGTTGGCAGTGTGGTGATCTGGCTGGTCTGTAAGTAGTTGTAGTAGCAGCAGAAGTAGCAAAAGCAGTAGCAGCAGAAGTAGTAACAGCGGTAGCAGCAGAAGTATCAACAGTAGTAGCAGCAGAAGTATCAACAGCAGTAGCAGCAGAAGTATCAACAGCAGCAGCAGCAGAAGTATCAACAGTAGTAGCAGCAGAAGTATCAACAGTAGTAGCAGTAGAAGTATCACAGCAGTAGCAGTAAGTCAACAGCAGTAGCAGCAGAAGTATCAACAGTAGCAGTAGCAGCAGCAAAGTATCAACAGTAGTAGCAGCAGAAGTATCAACAGTAGTAGCAGCAGAAGTATCAACAGCAGTAGCAGCAGAAGTATCAAACAGTAGTAGCAGCAGAATCAACAGTATAGCAGCAGAAGTATCAGTAGTAGCAGCAGAAGTATCAACAGTAGTAGCAGCAGAAGTATCAACAGTAGTAGCAGCAGAAGTATCAACAGTAGTAGCAGCAGAAGTATCAACAGTAGTAGCAGCAGAAGTATCAGAAGTAGAAGTATCAACAGTAGTAGCAGCAGAAGTATCAACAGTAGTAGCAGCAGAAGTATCAACAGTAGTAGCAGCAGAAGTATCAACAGTAGTAGCAGCAGAAGTATCAACAGTAGTAGCAGCAGAAGTATCAACAGTAGTAGCAGCAGAAGTATCAACAGCAGTAGCAGCAGAAGTATCAACAGTAGTAGCAGCAGAAGTATCAACAGTAGTAGCAGCAGAAGTATCAACAGTAGTAGCAGCAGAAGTATCAACAGCAGTAGCAGCAGAAGTATCAACAGTAGTAGCAGCAGAAGTATCAACAGTAGTAGCAGCAGAAGTATCAACAGTAGTAGCAGCAGAAGTAGCAATAGCAGTAGCAGCAGAAGTAGCAGCAGTAGTAGCAGCTCAACAGAGTAGCAGCAGAAGTATCAACAGCAGTAGCAGCAGAAGTATCAACAGTAGTAGCAGCAGAAGTATCAACAGCAGTAGTAGCAGCAGTAGTAGTATCAACAGCAGTAGCAGCAGAAGTATCAACAGTAGTAGCAGCAGAAGTATCAAAGCAGTAGTATCAGCAGCAAGTATCAACAGTAGTAGCAGCAGAAGTATCAACAGCAGTAGTAGCAGCAGAAGTATCAACAGTAGTAGCAGCAGAAGTAGCAATAGCAGTAGCAGCAGAAGTAGCAACAGCAGTAGCAGCAGAAGTAGCAGCAGAAGTATCAACAGTAGTAGCAGCAGAAGTAGCAATAGCAGTAGCAGCAGAAGTAGCAACAGTAGTAGCAGCAGAAGTATCAACAGCAGTAGCAGCAGAAGTATCACAGCAGTAGTAGCAGAAGTATCACAGTAGTAGTCAAGAGTATCAACAGCAGTAGTAGCAGAAGTATCAACAGCAGTAGCAGCAGAAGTATCAACAGTAGTAGCAGCAGAAGTATCAACAGTAGTAGCAGCAGAAGTATCAACAGCAGTAGCAGCAGAAGTATCAACAGCAGTAGCAGCAGAAGTATCAACAGTAGCAGCAGCTAGAAGTATCAGCAGAACTATCAACAGTAGTAGCAGCAGAAGTATCAACAGTAGTAGCAGCAGAAGTATCAACAGAAGTAGTAGCAGAAGTATCAGAGCAGTAGCAGCAGAAGTATCAACAGCAGTAGCAGCAGAAGTATCAACAGTAGTAGCAGCAGAAGTATCAACAGCAGTAGCAGCAGAAGTATCAACAGTAGTAGCAGCAGAAGTATCAACAGCAGTAGCAGCAGAAGTATCAACAGCAGTAGCAGCAGAAGTATCAACAGTAGTAGCAGCAGAAGTATCAACAGCAGTAGCAGCAGAAGTATCAACAGCAGTAGCAGCAGAAGTATCAACAGCAGTAGCAGCAGAAGTATCAACAGTAGTAGCAGCAGAAGTATCAACAGCAGTAGCAGCAGAAGTATCAACAGCAGTAGCAGCAGAAGTATCAACAGCAGTAGTATCAACAGCAGTAGCAGCAGAAGTATCAACAGTAGTAGCAGCA